ATTTCGCTACTCGAGGACTATTACTAATAGTCCTCTAGTAGCGTAGCCAATCAAAATGCAGGATTTGCATTAGTCCACTAGTTGGGTGATACTAATAGCGCTTATGACCTAGTGAAAATCGAAAATAGGAGTAGTAAGCAGAATCATAAGCTCGACGGAATCGGAGTCGGAAGAATCAGAACGTTTCAATTTCTTCCGATTTCGTTTACGACTCCGTCGCTTATGTTCGAGTGAAAACTAGATCGTCGGGGTCGGAAGCAGAAGTGCAAGGACCAACCAATCACAAGGCCCGGAAACGCACATTGTGATTGGTTGGTTCTTCCGCCTCTGCTTCCGACTCCGACAATCTTGTTCCAGCGACGGAGTCATAAGCGGAATGAGTGTTCTGCTTCCGACTCCATCGGTTTGATTTTCATTAGATTGTATCGCTTTACGCTTCTGATTACGACTCCGACTACGACTCCGTCGCCAGTGAAAACCAGCCTTTAGAGGGTTAATCCTCCATATCGATTCCCAAGGAAATCCCTCTCAAGTTGTTTTAGATCACGCCTGGTTTCTGAAATCCCAAGAGGGTCTATAAATAACCAATCCACCAATACATCGTCATCCTCCACGAAAACATCCACGCAATGCGCGTGGTAACATTATCCGCGGAAGGACTGGGTATCACGTCTAAAAATAACTTGAGCGGGATTAACTTGATTATTATACATTGAACTCACTATCTCTTTTCTTTTGGCCGAAAGCGCACAGTGAATTTTCGAAAATCAGCCCCTGTGACGTCATCTAGCTGTAGATTATACAATAATCATGTCAAGGACACGCAAGGTCACAGGTAATCATGTCATGTATGACCGCGGTGCATGATTTCTAAGGGTAATTAATCATGTCAAGTTCGCTTGCCGTCAGCGGAGAAGCAAAAACGTGACTTGCATTTTTTTTTTTTCGTTCAATGTATACTAAAACAATTATTAGATTCGGTTTTCGTGATATCCAGAATAATCAAGGTCTCGGTAAGAGTTATCAGCCTCAGCCTTCGACTTCGGCTGATAACCCCTAGCTCGACCTTGATTATTCTGGATATCACAAAAACCTCATCCGATAATAAATTATTGTCCAGAATATGTGGGATTAGCTCTCTCATCCTTCATCTTCTCTTATAAATTTTTTCTTGATACCTTTGGATCCCGGAAAGCCTCGGGCTCCAGCGAGACCTTTTCTGCCGTCACGGCCGTCACGACCTGTGAATAAAGGGAAAAAGCAAATGAGAGAGCAATCAATCTCTCTTCCTTTCTACCTAGTCTCCACTTGAAATTTTTAACAGCCAGACACATAAAATACACAGCTACCTATCTTACATTTACTCCATTGTTTACAATAAACCTAATGACGTAAAATGTTTCATAACATAAATTCTTTTAAGGTGGCTCAAAACAGTAAAAATATTTCGGCACCACAGCGCGAGGCATCACGCGATCACTCGAGGGGTCGCGAGATAGCGCGCGAGATTTAAAGTTTGCAAAACTCACAACAAACAGAGCGCCGCGAGGCCTACTTCGTAAAACTTTGTTTCCGCCAAGTTTAGTGAGCTGTTTGCGCAACCTCGTTCCCAGGATCTCTCATCTTACTGCCCCCTGGAGCGAGCGAGGAGGGGGCAGTAAGATGAGAGACCCTAGGAACGAGGTTGTTGTTTGCGATATCACTTATTTTTACCTTAGAAAACATCCATCACTCAGGCAATTTCAAAGGAAAAAACATTCTTTTAAACCGCTGTGCTGGAACGTAAACGAAAATTGTGATGTTGATGTTTCGATCGTTCGCACCAGCTATCAATCTAAAAACACAATAGCCTCAATTTGGCGCGAAAATATGCTGCGGAGAAAATCCGAGGATATTTTCGCGCTAAATGGAGGCTATTGTTTATTTATTCGCTTGGAATTGCGGGCTTTACTGATCCGCGAACTGCCTGCGTAAGGGGCGATCTTGCACGTAGAACGCGCGCGAAAACTTCCTTATCCACGAAGCTAATATCTCAAAACTGATCCGGTGACCCTACTTCTAAATGCAAAAAATATTCATCAGCAAAAGTGGAATGCATGTGCGAGATTGGAAAAATAATTGTGGAGTAGAATCCCTCCAACTTGGAAATTTCTATTTTTTTTTTTCTTAAATTAAGCAAAGTCTACTCCACAGAATTTTTCATAATTTTCCTTGTTTCTTCTTCTGTGGCTCATTAAAAGACTTTTAGAAAAAAAACCTTGGAGTCACCGACTTAGTTTTTAAGATAGATGCAATTGATGGTAAAAAGTGGGTTAAATTGTTGCTATGCTACAGAACAATGCAACTTTAATTTCTAATTTAAACACAATGAAAGGCACAGTGGAGAATTACCTTAACAAACTAGCACAGCCCCCCGGGGGGGGGGGGGG